TTCATGTCCCATCATCGCTAGCTGCGCATGCGTATACGTTCATGACTCTCTACTGATAGCAAGCATGGCGGACAGTGAAGATCGGTATGCTGCTTTTATAGACGCTCTTCAGGACCATGATGCCGAAATATTCAGAGGTGCCTATCCTTCTTGCCAAGGAGGTGGGGCATTTGGCAAATTTTCCAAAAATAATTTCCAAATGCCCCACTAAACCCTGAGGTCTGGAGGGTGGGGGTTGACATTGACTGGAGCATTACACAGGATTGTCATTCCAGAGACAATAACAATGTTATGTCCATTTGAGCTAAAATTATCAACGAAATTTTAGAAAAGTACTGAAAAATGTACAAAATGTAACACCAAATTTTGGCAGGAAAATTAATATTGTTTGAATGATGAGTAAATCTATTGTGTTATGTGTGTAACATTTTCCTATCTAGTCAATAAACTGATTAGAACAGTTGTATATATTACAGAGTATCAATAGGTCGTGAACCCATTGTTATAGAAAGGAAACCAGATAGATAGGTAACGGTGATATAATACGCAGTGACAGTGATTCAGATGATGAACCTATTTTGTATCGAGATGATAGCGATGATGAACAATACAGTAAGTGTTCGTTTTATATATTTATTGTCCAGATGTGTATCAAGTTAAGGATGTAGTAGACTTTCGTGGTGATTTTTTTCTTCATTTTTTTTTCTTTTATTAAATGGTGACTTATATCTATAGGCAGCCATACGACCTTGTTTTTTTTATTAAATCACGTTTTTATTTCAAGAAAAAACGGCTGTTTAAAAAATAAAAAATAATTTACAATTAACGGAAATCCCGCGGAATGTGCACTTCGGCTAAGTCCCTCTGAGCCAAAACAATAACATTTGTAATTAGCTTAATCCCGCAAATAAACATCGCGTGTACGCGTCCGGTCAAATGACCGGATACACTCACTCGTTGCTGATAGTTCATCGCATCGCTTTTCTCTACTATATATTATTGTTCATTTATTTTGTTTTGACCAAGTTTATTTTGAAAAATGGCACAGGAAAAAATTGGAAAAGAGTGTTCCAATGACAGGCGAAACCTGCAAGTTT